AAGAGAGGGAAATGAAGAGAAGAAAGGCTGATAAACTTGAGATGAAGCAAAAAATGTAGAACAGTAGCAAGTGATGGGTAGACAAAAGGCAATGAAGAAGTTTCAGTGAAAGATTCAAATCTGTTCCGTTTATACAGGTAAACCTTTCTTTTTGTTGTTTAGTCGTTTAGTCATGTCTGACTCTTTGTGACTCCATGGACCAGAGCATGCAGGCCCTCCTGTCTTCCACTGCCTCCCAGAGTTGTGTCAATTTCATGTTGGTAACTTCGGTGACACTGTCCAACCGTCTCATCCTCGTCCGCTTCTCCTCTTGCCTTCACACTTTCCTTACATCAGGGTCTTTTCCAGGGAGTCTTCTCTTCTCATGAGATGGCCAAAGTATTGGAGCCTCAGCTTCAGGATCTGTCCTTCCAGTGAGCACTCAGGGTTGATTTCCTTCAAAATGGATAGATTTGTTCTCCTTGCAGTCCAGGGGATTCTCAAGAGCCTCCTCGAGTACCACAACTAAAAGCATCAATTCTTCGGCAGTCAGCTTTCTTTGTGCTCCATCTCTCAATTCCATACATCACAACAGGAAAAACCATAACTCTGACTATGCGTACTTTTGTTGGCATGATGATGTCTCTGCTTTTAAAGATGCTGTCGAGTTTTGTCATCGCTTTCCAAGAAGCAGCCGTCTTTTAATTTTGTGGCTGCTGTACCCATCTGCAGTGATCGTGGAGCCCGAGAAAGTAAAATCTGTCACTGCCTCCATCTCTTCCCCTTCTATTTGCCAGGAGGTGATGGGACCAGTGGCCATGATCTTAGTTTTTGATGTTGAGCTTCAGATCGTTTTTTTCACTCTCCTCTTTCACCCTCATTACGTGTTCTTTAATTCCTCCTCACTTTCTGCCATCAGAGTGGTATCATCTGCATATTGGAGGTTGTTGATATTTCTTCTGGCAATCTTAATTCTGGTTTAGGATTTCTCCGATCTGGCCTTCCGCATGATGTATTCTGCATATGTTAAATAAGCCAGGGGACAATATACAGCCTTATTGTACTCTTTTCCCAATTTAGAACAATCAGTTGTTCCATATCCACTTCTAACTGTTGCTTCCTGTCCCACATATAGGTTTCTCAGGAGATAGATAAGGTAGTCAGGCACTCCCATTTCTTTGAGGATTTGCCATAGTTTGCTGTGGTCCATACAGTCAAAGGCTTTTGCACAGCCAATGAAGCAGAAGTAGATGTTTTTCTGGAACTCTCTTTGATTGACAGAGCACTTCATTAGTGAGGTGGAATCCTCCACATTGCCAGGTGCAGAACAGGTAAGTCTGGGTGGAGTACTTGGGCATTGTTCTATGTGAGGAGGTGGGGCAGGTGAGGGAGGTGGTGTCACGTTCCCGGGGGTTACAACAGCAGAGTCCGATAAGCCAGTCCTATGTCAGGAAGACAGGGAATGCAGAGCCAATTTCCAAATACCAAAGCCAATTCACACAACGTAGTCCAGGGTCAGAGTCCAAAGCCAAAACACACAATGTAGTCCAGGGTCAAAGTCCAAAGCCAAGGATCCAGGGAACAAGGTTCAAGGTTGTCAGGAGCATGGATGCAAGCCAGAGGTTTGACTTGTTGCTTCCATGGGTTTTCAGCCATCTGAGAGCTGCTTATATAGTAAAAACAGCCCTTGAACTGCTGGAAACCTTTTCATCATGTCAGAACTCAGGGCTAGTTGATCAGATGTTTCTGTGGGCAGCCTTCAAGTGATCCTCTGACCTTTTTGTCATAAGTCTTCCCCAAAGCCTGGCCCGAAGCCTGTCTACTGGGGGAGGAGAATCTGGAGGCAATTCAGGTGGTTGTATTTCTGATTCCTCAGCATTCTCCTCAGCTACAGTTAACCCTTCAGGTTCCAGATCTTTGGCTGCACTCATGACAGGTGGTGAATGTGTGATGAGAGATTGTGAAGGACTGGAAACCAGGGGTTTTTCAGCCACCATGATGGCATCTGGTTTGTCTTGTAGGCGGATGTCACCCCGGGGGTTACAACAGCCAAAATCTGATAAGCCAGTCCAGGGTCAGGAATACCAAGAATGCAAAGCCAATGTCCATAAACCAACTCACAGAATACAGTCCAAGATCAGAGTCCAGAGTCCAATACACAGCGTAGTCCAGGTTCAGAGTCCAGAGTCAGGAACACGGTTCAAGAAGCGTGGATGCAAGCCAGGGGTTTTGACTCGTTGCTTCCACAGAAATTCTGGCTGGCTAGGAGCTGTTTTATAGTAAAACAGCTCCTTGAGCTGCTGGAAACCTTTCCATCCTGTTAATACTCAGGGCTAGTTGAACAGATATTTCTGTGGACAGCCTTTGAGCGATCCTCTGACCTTTTTGTCCTAAGTCTTTCCTGAAGCCTGACCCCAAGCTTGTCTGCTGGGGAAGGAGAATCTGGAGGCGATTCAGGTGTTTCTGATCTCTCAGCATTCTCTTCAGCCTCAGTTAAGTGAGTGTCTCGTTAGGCCTTGCGAAGGGAATGAGTTACGAGGAGCCATTTGTCGATATATGGAAATATTAGAATTTTTTGCAAACTGATGTAAGCAGCTACTGGTGCCATGCACTTGGTGAATACTCTTGGAGCTGTTGAAAGGCTGAAAGTAAGCCTTTTGAATTGGTAGGCTTGTGATCCTAGCTGAAATTGAAGGAATTCTCTATGTGAAGGATGTATTGAAATATGGAAGTATGTGTCTTTGAGATCTATGATAGTGAACCAGTCATTTTTGCGCAGTAAAGGAAGAACTGATTAGAGGGTAACCATACGGAATTTTGAGGTAATGATGTACTTGTTTAACTCTCATAGGTCTAAGATAGGGCAAAGACCTCCGTCCTTTTTGGGTATGGTGAAATAGCAAGAGAAATCCCTTCGTTGTGTTATGAGAAAGGTTGTATGGCATCTTTGAAGAGTAAATTTCTTATTTCCTCTTGTAGGGTTGGAGATGGTGGAGTAATGATGTGTGTTGCCGGAGGAAGTTGGAATGGATGTGGTAGCCGTCGCGGATGATGGACAGTACCCAGGCATCTGTAGTGATGGCTTCCCAGACAGGTACTGTAGGTGTTTCGAGAGGGCAGGATAGTGGGGTTGTGTGCGATCTTGGTCATGGGAGTCAAATGTGATGTTTGGGCTTGCAGATGTTGCACTTAGTAATGAGTTGTTGGTGGGGTTTATTTCTTTGGTTTCTGAAATAGGGTGTATAAGATGTTTTAGAGAATAACGTTGGAATTTTTGATACCGTTGTCTCCATTGATTTTGTTGGGGACATTGTCGGTAAGATGGATAAACTCCCCAACGCCTAGCTGCTGATATTTTCCTTTGCATGTTTTCCAAAATATCATCAGTCTCAGCATTAAAGAGGCCTGCCCCATCGAATGAAAGGTCTTCAATACGTGCACGGGCATCCTCAGCCAGGCCAGCTGTCCTTAGCCAAGAGAAATGTCATAGGGAGCAGGTTGGAGTTGATGTGGGTCATGGTGATATGGCCATTTCGACACCGATGGCTGTCGAAATTGAGGCCCGCCATGAGAAGGTATGGCTGATCTGGATAGAGCAACTGGCTGATTGGTGGTTGCAGTCTGTCCGGTCGATCACTGGTCAGGGCAAAAGGCAACCCGATGAGAGTGCTGAACACGGGTCTGAGCCACGCGTGATGAAATAACGGCTCCAGGGACTGTTGAGGTCGATGTCTCTGAGGAGCTCGTGGTGGACGATCAGATGTTACCGAAAAAGGCATGGTCTCTAATTTTTGTTCGGAGTCGACCCTGTCAGGTGAAGCAACTGCAGAAGCGTCGCTCAAAAGAACAGAGTGTTGAGGACTGGGAGGATAAAATGTTAATCGATCGACTCTGTCATCCCATTCCAGTGATTGGGAGCAGGGTTGATGAGAGGGGATTCTGTCATTGTCAGAAGACGAACCAACAGAGATTGATTTGGCGGTTTATTGAGGCTGCTGAGAAATGACTGCAACTTTAGGTTTATGCTGTTTAGGTCTTTTAGGCAGATAAGGCTCTGGAACTGAAGGGGCTTCAGTGGACATTTGACGTTTAGTGGAGAACTTCGATATCGAGGATTTCGGTATCGAGTGCTTCAATTTATGGGTTTTTAAAGTTTTAGACAAAGTGTACAGAGTGTTGGAGTGGGATGGTATGGTCGATAGACATTGTTTGAGGCTTCAGAAAGAGTCTTTTCCATTGCTTTGGTTTGTGAGGTGGCCTTACAAGGAGGTAGGGCCATTTGGTTGGTTGAAGGGATTGTTCCCAAAGATGGTGTTTTAATCTGGATAAGCGAGAATGGAGGACTCTGCGCTTGAAGTTCTTACAATGCTGGCAGGAGGACGTCTGGTGTACTTCTCCCAAGCAAAAAAGATACTTGCCATGGCCATCGGAGAGTGATATTTTGTTATCACAGTGTTTAAATAGGCCCAAATGGGCCATGAGTAGGAGAAAATGATTTGAGGAGAAAAAAGAATGATGAGGGGTGCTGCGGCCAGAGGCCAAGCAAAGTAGAAAAGAAAAAAAATCTCTGATGATAATGAATTTGATCTAAAAGTTCAAAGGAAAAAAGATTGATAACAGGAAAGAATCAAGAATAAACTCTCTTTCTCTTTTACTCACAGAAGCAGAACTATGAGGCTCTCAATGTGGCAGTTGAAAGAAAACCGAAAGGGGAGTCTTGGTGCCAAGGTACTTATACGAGGGGAGAGGGGCCTCAGTTTTGCTACCACAGAAGCTCTAGAACTTTCTGATGATGCTCTACACAGGCACGGATTGCCCAGGGTGTGATCCACAGAGGCCACGAAGAAGAACTATATCTGTGCAATTTTCTGGAGGCTGTGACACAGAGGTATATTGGCTATCCAAATCAGGTCCAGCCAGCAGATCTGGGACTTTGGATTGCTCTTTGATGAAAGTCTTATATGAATTTAATATAAAATCAATACAATTATGAATATATATTTTGCAAATTAAACTACAACCTTTTAAGAATCCGTGGAGGTTCATTTAATTTCTCACATACAGTTTCCAATACTTGAGGAGTAATACATCTCCCTGATTTCAGTGATTTCCTTCTAGATGTTTTCTTTGGGAAAACTATGTATGTAATCCCAGCTTTTCGCGCTTTTTCAGCAAGGGCTATGTCATCCAGAGGTGGAACATGCTCAGCAGGTTCTGTAGCAGAGGAAAAAAGACTTCCTGCTGCTAATTTCATTGTACTTGTCAGAACGGAATCAGAATCTCTTTCTGTAGTAGAAATTCCCTGACTGGTAGGCAAAATTATCTGATTAGGAACAGTTTTGATTTCCTGAAGCTTTGCAGAAGAAATTTTAGTTTCTGGAATAACAGCTTCAGCATCTGCTGAAGAAATGTGTTTCTTCATAATACTAATCTCTTCCATAGTGGTTCTGAAATTTGTAGAAATCTTTAAACTTGTTTTATCTCTGTATGATGACAATTCTGGAGCACTTTTTGTTCTTCTAATTGAATCTACCTGTAAGGAAGAAAAATAGGAAATCTCATTTTGCTTTATATTTGTTTGGGAGTATTCTAAAGAGCAATCAAAACACTGTAAGATGTCATAAATAACACTGAAATATGCTGAAATGTGCATCAGTATATCCCAATTAAAGAAAAAAAAGTTTTAAGACTTGTTTAAATTAAGGAACATGAATGTACAAATCTTAACCTGACCAGATTGCTGAATCAAAGCATGTTCCAGAAGGTTTTTAACTGAAATCATATCAACAGTGGGTCCTGATGGCAATTTTTAGAGCACTCTATTTTTATTTGTATTTTAATTGTTTTATCTTTTTACTGTATTTAAATTGTTGTAAGCTGCCCAGAGACCTTTGGGTAGTGTGAGCGACATATAAGTTAAATAAATAAATAAATAAATCAATGGCTTTCTTTGCATGTCAAATTCTGGAGCGAGAGAAAGAGAGAAAGAGAAAGAGAAAGAGAAAGTGTGCGAGACCATTCCCTGTCTGGACAGTGCCACTGAGGCCATGGTACCCATGAAATCCAAGGCTGCACCAGGAACTAGTGCCTCAACATGAACGCTGAAATTCCCCAGAAGCATGAGACTAAGAGACTGCAATCTGGCAGCAAAGTCCGTCAGCCTCAGAAGGGATAGTGGTGGTTCATGAACAGCTGATACACCAACACTAGCCCCAACCTGTCCCATTGGTCAACAGACACTCCAACCCAGTGTTGGCTAGGGAAGCAATCATACTAACCTTGATAGAATTTTTAAATACAATGGCAACGCCACCTTTCTGACCCTCCAGTCTGCCCTGATGGTGAACACAGTAATTGTGGAGCAAATCTGAGAGACAGCTACCCCACCTTCAGCATTCGCCCAGGTCTCCATGATACAAGCCAGGTCAACTCTTTCATCATTAATAAGATCTGCAATTAGTTGAGACTTGTTTTGGACTGATCTGACATTCAGCAACAAAAGGGTCAGCATGGAGACCATGAATCGAGCTGATTATCTTGCACCCGGGTGAGGGCTGGAACACTAGACCCTGGGATTGATATTAAAGATAGAGGCTGACTTCTCCTAAAACAACCAACATTCCTTTCAGCACCATATCTTCCTCTTTCCCATCACCACCAGAATCTACATATGCCCTGTAAGAATGGTAGGGGCCCTCCCTGGGAAAAGTTAGGTTACCTACCTGTAACCATGGTTCTTCTAGTGGACCTCTGTGAATTCACACAAATGGGTTTCTTCTGTGCCTACACAGGATGTTCGGAAGATTCTAGAGCTTAAAAAAGAGCAACAATTTAGTTTCCCCCCCCACCAGGGAGCTAGCTCCTCCTCCTCAGCCTTCCCTTCAATTCCTTGTAGTCCATTGTTACCATATAGAATAGGTATTAAAAATAATAGCAACGTGACAGACAGAGGGGAGGATGGGAGGGATCTGTGAATTCACAGAGGTCCACTAGAAGAATCATGGTTACAGGTAGGTAACCTAACTTTGTTCGTAGTGGACTCTGTGAATGCATACAAATGGGTGATTAACAAGCTTACTCACCGGATGGAGGGCCATCACAACAACAAAGATGTCAGTGTCGCCCTTCCAAATGTGGCATCCTTCTTAACCCTGATGTTGAGGTAGTGCTTTGCCAACATCAGAGGATTGGACCAGGTAGCCACTCTACAGATGTTCTGTATCTGTATTCCACGATGCAGAGCGGTTGATGTTGAGACTGCTTGGGTGGAATGTGCTTTTAAGCTGTCCGGCATCATTTTTCCGGAAAGTTGGTATGCCATCTGGATTGTTTGGACTGTCCACCTCGATATAGTTTGAGGGGAAGCAGGGGCACCTCTGTTTGGTCCATGAAAGTATATGAATAATCTAGGCGATTGCCTAAAGTACTTTGTCCTGTTGAAGCAGAAGGCAAGGGCCCTTTTGACATCTAATATGTGGAGCTTGCACTTCATTGGGATAGACAGAGACGGGAATAGCATCGGTAAAACTATAGATTGGCTAAGGTGAAAGTCCGATACCACTTTAGGGAAAAAGGAAATATCAAAGTACAAGGTGATCTTATCAGGGTGCAGTTTCAGGTACGGAGGATCCGACCTCAATGCGGCTAGTTCACTGGCTCTTTTTGCGCAGGTGATCACAACCAGAAAAATCGTCTTCATAGAAAGCAACTTTTCGTTACAAGTGGCCATGGGTTCAAATGGCAGTTTCGTGAGTACCTCAAGAACCACTGGGGAACAATGCATTGTGATGGTGGTCTGATATTCTGCAGACCTTTCATAAATTTCTTAAGAGTCGGATGAGAGAAAAGTATAGCAGACCGGAAACTGGGCAGTTGATTGGCTATTATGGCCAATATATATACCTTAGGGGTAGATTGTGAGAGTCCGAGGTTAAATAGGTGTAAGATGAAGGTAAGTAAAGTTTTGAGGGAAGCTGGGATGTGGGGGGTCAGTCTCTTGGATTGAGTAAACTTGATAAATGATTTCCATTTGTTTTCGCAGTGGACAGTTTCTGTGCCAGATCTAGAATTCTGTGGAACTCGGGGTTATTCTCCACACGATCGGACTCAGGGATTGTACATCTGGGTGGAGTGTGGATCTGTCGTTTTGGGATAGAAGAGCTGGCAGTGGAAATAAGTGAAAAAATTTTTTTTGATATCCTTCTCAGGTAGGTGAACCATGGCTGTCAGGGCCACCATGGGCCAATCAGTATAGTTTCCGTTCCGTACTGAATGATCCTGATAACTGTCCTTTGGAGCATTGGTATCAGTGAGAAGATGTAGGTTAGTTCTCCTGACCAATCTATCATGAAGGCTTCTCCAAGAGGCTCAGTGTCTACTCTCCACCCTGGAACAGTATCTGGGACACTTGCATTGTGTTGAGTTGTGAAGAGGTCCAGCATTGGCTGGCCCCATTTGAGGCAAATGTCCTGAAAGACCAATTCGTTCAGTGACCATTCGTGTGCACAGGTAGGCAGTCCGCTGAGACAATCTGCTAGATAGTTGTCCTCTAATTATATGTGGATAGCTTGAGAAAAAATGTGGTGGGCACGGCACCAGAATCTTATGCTTAGGTGGAGGAGAGGCAAGGAGTGTGTTCCTCCTTGTCTGTTCACATAATCCATGGCCATGGTGTTGTCTGTAACAAGCTGACCCGCTTTTCCCTTGAGGTGCAGCAGAAAGGCTCGAAAAGTGTTTATAATGGCCAACATCTCCAGTTGATTTATACGGAGCGCCTGTTCCCTTTTTGTCCACAGGCCATTTATCCGGAGCTATTGACAATGAGCTCCCCATCCCATCTTGTTCTATTTTAGTATCATCTGCAATGTTAGCCGACCTAAGCCATGCATGTCTCTTGATTGCTATCAAAGTTGTCATGGACTTCGATGCCGTGTCTGCGGTGTGCTTTGCCACTACTCTTCGTTGTTTCGCCAGAGTTGTAGCCCCTGTATATATATTTATTAGCTCCAATTTTGTTGGTTCGGGTGCTGTTTGCAATGTAGGGAGCATTTTATCCCATAGATTTCTTTGATAGGCGCCCATGGCTGCCTGGAAATTGGAGATCCTAATTAGTAGCACTGCTAGCAAGTAAAGTTTTCTCCCCAAAGAGTCAATCTTGCATCCCTCTCTATTCATTGGGGCCATAAAAGATCTGGTGCGGGACTTGTACTGTGTAGATTCGACTACTATCGAATTAGGAATTGGGTGTTTGGCTTAAAAGTCCTATTCCGAGCTGTGAGTTTTGTAGTGATGTTCCACTCTGCATGGAATCAGGAGGGTTGAAGGTGGCTTGTCCCATGATTCTTTCACAAGCTTGATCAGTGCTGGGATAAGGCTTAAGCTGGGTGGCTGTTTTTTATCTTGTTCTAGATTGTGGAATACGAGGTCCTTCTCCTGTTGCAGAGAGATTTGTACATTAAGCTGCAGGGTTTTAGCCATGTGCAGTATGAGTTGGGCATATGATGTGTAGTCCTCCGACAGTGATATCTGAAGTATATGCACAGGAGTGTTGGCTTTGAGATGCACCCTATGAAGAAGAGTCTTCATTACAAGAAGACAGAGAGGCTATCGAGGGTGAACTGTGTAATTCCCCGGTGTGTGCCCTTGGTATGGGGTTGATGTCCGACTGTGTAGATGCCAAGAAAGGTTTGGTGTTGATGTCATGTGGGCCAGAGTAAAGTTTGGTTGTATCAACTGTTGGTCAGCTTCCGGTGTCTCTAGATTGTTTTTTTAGGTAAGGTGATTTCTGTTGCCACTGTCCTCTTTCGAGGTGGTCAAATTAGGGAGGTAGAAGCATCCTCTCGGTGTCGAGAAGGAATTCCCAGCTGGGGTGTCATAGGGAAAGTACCAAACTCGTGGGGGTAGTTTGGTCCCCTGTATTAATCTTGGTAACCATAGCCATGGTATGGGTATGGATGGTACTGATCAAAGTAGTGGTAGTCATAGTGTGGCGGGCCTTCGGCATGGCAAAATTGTTTGTCATGCGTATAAGGTTCGTATGGAGAGGTATGCTTACACTTCTCCGTTCTCTTTTTCTGAGCGCATTGCATGGACTCCTGTTCCGATTCAATGTCAATGTCTGCCCGCCCTGAAGATCGAGGGCTCGAATGGGCCATGGCCGGGCTGGAAGGTACATCAGACTCAAATAGGCCTGAGTTAGGAGACATGATAAGTATGTCATGAGGTGCCTGGGCTGGAGGAATTGCATGCTCCTCTCTGTCTGAAAGCCCAGGGTTCTCCCTTGAAGATTCCTCCATGGGTAATGGGACCGGAGGAAGGGGTGCGGTGGTCAGCTTGGCAACCTTGAAGATTCCTCCATGGGTAATGGGACTGGAGGAAGGGGTGAGGTGGTCAGCTTGGCAATTTTCTTTTCCTTCTTATTTTTGTCTTTTTCCCTTTTCTTTTTCGCAGAGTCGTCAGACCATGCCTGAGCCCTGACAGAGGCTGATTTGGATAATTTCTGAGAGTCTTTAGGTTTAGTAAGTATAGATGTTGAACTGGATAGAGATTGTGCAGCCGGACTAGAAACGGTCTTAGCAGCCTCCGGACAAGGAGGGTTAGAAAAGGGAAAGGTTTGCACCTGCATAGCAGGATTCAAAGTCTTTTCATAGAGAAATGATCTTAATCTCTGCAGTCTAAGCTTAATTGCTGGCTTAGACAGGCTCCTGCATGCGGTGCATGACAGGGTTTGATGGAATTCCCCAAGGCAAAATAAGCATTTATCGTGCCCATCCGTTAACGGAATCATACAGAGGCAAACAGAACACCTCTTAAAGCCCCATCATCATCATAGGCATCCTTCAGTCTCGAGAGACTATGGTAACATGCTCTGAATCGAGGAGTGTCCTCTCCAGAGCATGAAGCCCGGGTAAGGTAATATGGAGGATAGGCTGTTACCCAAACAGCAGATCCCCCCTCTCCACATTGCTGAAATGGTCCAATGGAAAGGCAAGAGCCAATACAACTGGTTCCAGCAATGTCGCAGGAGTTGGCAGAACGACACATGCTGCCTTCGGGACTCCAGCTCCGGATTTTGCCTTGAGGTTAACTCCTGAAAGGGGCTATAAAAAGTAGGGGAGATAATAAAAAGAAAATGAGGGGGAACTCCAATGGTTGGAGGGGGAAAGGCAGGAAGGCACAAAAAGAACAAAATGTGGGTTCTAATTACTGCAGGGGGGGGAAACAAACAAGATTTAAGGTTGAAAAGATGTGACAAATAAGGATAGCTAAAATCTAGAATCACTTTCCTTAATCGCTCTACTGTTCCTCACGTCCTAACTCAAAGGCGGAAAAAAAGGAATTGAAGGGAAGGCTGAGGAGGAGGAGCTAGCTCCCTAGGGGGGAAACTAAATTGTTCCTAATCGCTCTACTGTTCCTCACGTCCTAACCTAAAGGCGGAAAAAAAGGAACTGAAGGGAAGGATGAGGAGGAGGAGTTAGTTTCCTAAGGGAGGAAACTAAATTGTTCCTCTTTTTTAAGTTCTAGAATCTTCCGAACACCCTGTGCAGGCGCAGAAGAAACCCATTTATGTGCATTCACAGAGGCCACTATGAAGAAAGACAAGACTACCTCACTCCAGGAGAAGGGGGGAAATAAATAATAATAATAACAGTAATATTTAAAAATTGATTAACTAGCCCCACAAGTAAAAGGTGCCTAGGATAAAATCAAAGTACAAAACACATTACTTAAATTATCTAACTAATAAAAAGGGGGCAAGTATGCAAAAAAGAAAAAAAATAATTAACAATGACAATAACAATAACAAAAATAGTAGTAATATCAATAATAAAGTGTTAATGAGAAGGAGATATGGTTGCGGGGAAATGGAAAATGGAATTACATACGTATCCAGTCTTCGGTTCACATGAACATGTAACTATGAAGATAGGAACCTCTATGGATCCAGCTCATTTTCAGGAACAGTAGATCTGAATCCAGCCTAAATTTCAGCTAAACTTTTAACCCAAAACAACAAAAATATACTAGATATAAATGTTATTCATGTCAACTCTGAAGAAAATCCCACTGAGACCAATGAGGTTTATTTTTATTAAGTGTGCCCAGAATTGTACTCTAAGTAGATGCATAATTAAAAATATTTGACCACGCTGCAGACAAAAATAGTGCCATGCAATATAACAAGTAAATATTACAATACCTCTGATTCACTTCCAGAAAAAAAAAGCTGTGGACAAGAACTACATCGTCTACGTAGTGTTAAATTCTACAAAGAAAAACAAAGGTTAGTTTATTATAGTTGTTCTTAAGAACAACAACATATTTTAATACATTTTTTAAAATCTATGAGCTATGCTTAAATTATTAATGTGCATGGAAATATTTAACTAAATTTACTTTAGGAATGTTAAAATGTGAGACTAATATGATTGCTTTTTACATTAAATTAAACTGACATGATATGTGTAGGCAATACTGATTACCTCTAGAGTTTGAGTAGAAGTGCACAGTGAATTTTCTTTCTATTTTATTGTGGGACCAGTGAGAGTCCCCCCTGACCACAAGGGTGGGTGCTCCACTTCTTGGAGAAGGTCTGCCGGATTCCCCATACTCATCTGTGGACTGGGGCATTGGTGGGATGGAGGTGGATGACACCCTCAAAGCCAACAGATGTGGTGATGGCGGGGCTTGGGCTTAAGGAGAAGCAGGAGGCAGAGGAGGGGAACAGGTGGGCAGATGGCATGGACTTGGAAGAATGTGAGGCTCATCAGGTACACTTGGGTCTGCCAGGACCAGGCATGGTACTGAGAGGCTTGAAGGCTCAAGAATCAGCACAAATTGTGGCATATTACACAATACTAATGTGATACACACTGAAAGTATGTTGTCAAAGTCGTCATCAGAATCTGATTCTTCTTTGTCTCGAAGATCACAGGAAAAGTTTTCATAAATAACTCCACTAATCAAATTGCTCTGGAAAATAAAGTATATTTTGTTTTATTATTAATGTAAATATGAACCCAGGAAACAGTGTTCCAACTTCAGTTTATTTCATAAACCTCAGGCTGACATTGTATATAAAGATCAGAACTGTACAATTAAGATTTCTCAGAATCAGATTTTCAAAGTAGATGTCTAATAGTAGGTTTCGGCAACAACAAAAACAAAACAAAAGCAAAAAACTAACAAATGTATCTCACGGTGAGCTTTTGTAGACTACCATCTATGTCTGAAGTAATAACTAGTAATTCATAAAAGCTCACAATGAAATAAATGTTTTAAGTTTTAAAGGTACCACAATACTTTTGTTTTGTTTTGGAATCAGATCATTTTCACCTAGAGTGGTCATAACTGACCAGATAGGCAGGATATATATAAATAAATAAATAAATAAATAAATAAATAAATAAATAAATAAATAAAAAAATAAATAAATAAATATCATTTCCACATTGGTCTTACAGAAGAGGCAACATTTTCTGAGTAAGTCAAACAGTACATTTTCTTCAGGCAAACTGTGTTTGATATGCGATTCTCACTCTTTAGAGTTACATAGGTTTCTTTCTTATACTTAAATTATTTAATCAATGATTTTTACATGTTTTTATTGTTTTACAAAGACTAAAATAAATAAATAAATATCATTTCCACATTGGTCTTACAGAAGAGGCAACATTTTCTGAGTAAGTCAAACAGTACATTTTCTTCAGGCAAACTGTGTTTGATATGCGATTCTCACTCTTTAGAGTTACATAGGTTTCTTTCTTATACTTAAATTATTTAATCAATGATTTTTACATGTTTTTATTGTTTTACAAAGACTATAAGCTGCCTTGAGCACTACTTTGTACTTGAAAGGGGTGTGTGCAAATATAACTAACAACTAAAACAACAGCCACAGTAACAACAACAGTATGACATCGCCTAATTCATTTTTATGTTGTTATGTGTCAGGAAATTAGAACTGACTTATAGCAACATAATAGGGCTTTCAAGGTAAGTAAGATATTTATGGAGTGGTTTTACCAGTTGTACACCTCCAGTGCACTTCCATGACTGAGTGGACATTTGGACCCAGGGCTTCTGGGTCCTAATCCATCACTCTATCACCTCTCTGTATCAGAGCAAAGCAGTAAGAATTATATTCTTAGAACTGCAGAGCTAGAAGGGACCCTATGGATCATCAAGACCAGCCCTTCCATAGAGCCTCAATGGGGAACCAAACTCCCAACTTCTGGCTCCACAGTCAGGTACCTAAACCACTGAACTGAGTTCAGTGAAATTTCTGCAGCAATAATATAATAATTGTATGCCGTCAAGTCGATTCTGATCTATAATGACCCTTTCCAGGGTTTTCTAGGGAGTACTCAGAAGGAGGACTCAGGAGTGATTTACCATTCCCTTCTTCTGTGGGCAAAATGGGACTGGGCAAGACCATACAGGCTGGTCTTCTCCCAGGAGGCCCATTGGGGAACTGAAGGCTGGCTCCACAGTCAGATACCTAAACCACTGACCTATCCAGCCAGGTAATTTCCATATAACCTATTAATTGTATACCTCAATATGGACACTCCAAGGATAAGCAAATGTGGTGTGTTTCGAGTATGTACATAAAGTTTACCTCATACTTTGAAAATAAGGTTTCTTTCATAAGAGAAAGAGAAGCAGCGAATTTTTGTGGAGCTGGTGTCCAAAACATTTTGAGCGACGCTGGATGAAGTTTCACCTTCAAAACAATTTTTTAAAAAACATTAGTATATAAACTGTTACTGTATTACAATCCTAGACATATTTCTTCCAAATATTGTACTTATATGGCTGAGCCCAAAGCCTTAATTGCTAGAGGATCACAGGGAGGAGCATTCTTGAGAAACTGAAACTGCTTAGATGTCTCTGAAAGAGCTATGCAGCCCTGTATTTGCATTACTAATTGTTGGATGCAGTGTTGTTCCCTCCTTCCTGACAGCTTGTATCTGACTATGTGATGTTTGTTCCCTGTGTATTTGGAAATCTAATACACATTTTCAAACTACTTCACCATATTCAGGAACTGGCAGTTCCAGAATGTGAAATACTGGGCAGGAATTTTATTCAAATGCTAGGCAACCCTCTCTGTACTTCACTCCTGGCTTTAGATGTGATTAGATGGCAAGAAAGGATTATGTCTGATCATACTAGAAAGGGTCACTCTGCCAGGAACAATTTTCCTTGAAGTGACCCTTTTGTTCATCAGGAAGTAATTCCAGCCCAGGCCCCCAAAATAGTAGCTCTGCTGCTGGTCTAAACCCTACAGCTTGGATACAGTGAAATCAAGCTAAAGGGTTATTCCCTGTATATTGTGTGATTGCCAGGAAATAGCTCACACTGAACCACACTACAAGTAATCCAAAAAACAGGTTACAGTGGTGCCCCACTTGACGACGATAATCCATTCCAGGAAAATCACTGTTAAGCAAAATCATTGTCAAGCGGAAAAAGCCCCATTGGAATGCATTGAAAACCAGTTAATGCGTTCCAATGGGGAAATACCTCATCGTCCAGCGAAGATTGCCCATAGAGAACTGCCGATCAGCTGTTTAAAATTGCTGTCTTCCGAAGCTTCTGTCTGGAAAACAGCCATTTTGCGAAGGGAAGGAAGCCATTTTTTGGAGCCGGAAAAAAACCATTGTTTTGAGAACAAACGGTTCGCAAAGCAGGCACCTAATTGACATAAAGCGAAAAAAACCCATAGGAGCCATCATTTTGCGATTGCTATAGAAATCGCAAAAAAACTTGTCATCAAGCAGGGTCGTCATCAAGCGGGGTCATCATCAAGCGGGGCACCACTGTATATGCTTTTGTGATCCACCCTACTCTGCTGGAGGACAGGCTGCTGTGTGCTTGGTAGATCTGGTACAGAAACTAGCATGTTACCTACCATAATACACAACAGCAGAGTATACACACTTTAAGGCCATAATCTATGGTGACAGAATATTCTCAGGAGCAACTGAAATGAGACCAGAGCTATTCTAATAATTGAATTTTATTATGAATACATGCAAACTTTATGGAGGAAAGGAAAGGAATGTGAAGAGGAAGAAAGCCACTGAGGCTCCTTGATTATATTTTTGTACATAGATAAAGGGGGATGGGGTAGAAGTTGGAAAGCTACCTTTCTTTCCTTATGCTCTCTGACACCTTACTATACTTTTTTAAAATAACTACCTCCCATTTCTTCTTACAGAATACCAGGACAGAACTAGAAGGACAAATATACTGTTATACTTTAAAATATTGAGTTTAATAAAATACATTATTAGAAGCATTATTTAGTCTTACTTGCTTTCCTAACAATTCCAATTGAGGTTTTTCAACATAATATTCGGCTACTCTTTGCCATTCAGGCATACTTCTTGGTGACCGTGGAGGCAGAACCTTAATTCCATCTTCCGCTTTGGTATGGTATACTTCTGAAATAGGAAGTCCTTCATGACAAATTCTGAAATAAAATAAATGCTGAGCAATCATGGAACTATTTCTCAAGTATATTAGTAAACACAATACTGTTTACTCAGTCCATATTTTAAAATAACAACAACAAAAAATATAGCACCTACATCAGAAGAAGCAATGAAGCATTTACTATTGACTTTTATTCCAAACACATTGCCCAAAGTGCAAGTAGGATACAAGTCATGTGCCAGCACTCACAGAATATTAGCCATTGCCTCCATCTGCCCTAGGTTTATGAAGCAGAGGAAGAACAACAAGGCAACCCAGCAACTAGGATATTAAAATATGTTATGTGGCTTCACTAATTATCAGTATTAATGCAACAATCTAATCTCTCTCATTTGTATCTCTACAATTAAGTAGCACCATCCCACAATACCACAGAAAGAGATTTTAGATTATGATACGAGCATCTTAATGCTCACTTCAAAACAGTGGCAAGTCTGGATAAATAGAAACATCCAGTAAAACAACCTTCTAGAGTTATATCTCTCCTTGATTTTAGTGCACTGGAATGGGAAACTGGCACAAGCACAGGTTGCAGATTTCATTCTAAGTTTGAACCATAGTAACTAAAATTCATGGATTGCTGCCTTGTCGTGGTGAAGGGGCTTGAGTAACTCAGAGAAGCTATGGGCTATGCCATGCAGGGACACCCAAGATGGACAGGACATAGTGGAGAGTTCGGACTAAACGCCATCCACCTGGAGTAGGAAATGGCAAGCCACTCCAGTATCTTTGCCAAGAACGCCCCATGATCAGAAACAAAAGGCTAAAAGATATGACG